GATGCAATAATTAATTTTTTTGGTCAACATCAGCACCTTCTACTTCGATTTTTAATTTGTTTCGTTCTCTCTCAGCTAAATGAAGTCTTTTAATCAGTGCTTGAAAATTCCCATTCACCGGTTAAAAGCGCTCAAAAAAAACTGAGTTATGTGTAATCTCTTTTATTGCCATCAGTAGGCATATTTTCATCATATTTGGATACTTGATCCCAGTTTTATGAACTTTTGATCTTCTTTCTGCAAAGTAGTCTAAGCTTTCTCAATTCTAGTGCGCTTTAGCATAATTTAAAGCACACTTCTCATGTGTTGTATTTGTCATACACGAGTCGCCACCGTCCTAGTTCACACTGGTGTACCGTCATTGGGAATATCTTTGTTGAGTTTTTTCAAGAGAGGGAGGCTAATTTTACTACTTAAGTGCTGAAGATACCACTTTCGAGGGAGGAGATACTGGATGGAGCACAAGAAGTCGAGGGGAGGGGGAACAGAGGAGTGATTTACGGATGAAAAAGAGACGGACACAGAGGTAGAGAGTAGGGTAAGGTGAGTACTGTAAAAGTGGTCGAATATGACATACAGTGGGGTCATGGTGGTTTCACATTTGAAGTTTACAGACTTTATTACCTTATGAGTATACGTTGCCCGGGGTGAACCACGAGTTCCTAAAATTCCACTTTTTACAATCAAATTACTACTTTAGTCGTAAGCTACTTGAAATCAGTAGAATATACAGGAAGTAAGCATAAATGCCTCATCTTCAAGCCACGAGTCGCCACCTACCTAGTTCACACTGGTGTACCGTCATTCGGAATATCTTTGTTGAGTTTTTTTAAGAGAGGAAGACTAATTTTACTATTCAAGTACTGAAGATAGCATTTTCGAGGGAGGAGATAGTGGGAGGAGCACATAGAAGAAATTGTTAGCTTTCTTAATCGCAACAAAACACGATGTTTAAAGGGATATTTTTAAATTTGTAATTTTTATTAGATAAGTAGGCTATATGCCAAGCAATGACCATTCAAAAATTGTGAGAAAATTTGACAACTACCTGGAACTCCACTTATTTCCGATTGCAGATGAAGGATATGAATGCTGACAAAGAGCAGATCGACTCCCAAGATCTACCCAGCTTTAAAGAAGTGCCTTCTCTTCCCAAAGAGGGTGTTATTAGTGCTACATCTGCCAGAGTAAAAACAAATATATTTAATTTTTCCACAACCACAATCTTTCCTCACCCAATCGCTTTTAATTATGCGTCATCAGAATGCCTTTACGCCAAGCAGGAGCAACTTACTAATGTCACCTAACTTGACTCAATGCAATGAGTCACGCTCGCTGCTTTGTACATTTCTGATGCGTAGTCTATAAGCCCATGTTATTATTGCATTTGAAACAAGTGTGAGCTCCTGAAGTAGTTGGCACCAACAATAATGTGCTTGGGATGCTCTGGATTGGTTGGTGAGTAATACTCTGTTTGATTTTGACAACAAACGCGGAGGATATTTATTGCTTGCCCTAAAAAATCCTAAAGATTCTACGTCATCTACTGCTCTCTGTTTTTATTAACTTTAGTGGAAAGAAAGTGACAAATTTTGAACCTAATTTCTTACCCATTCAGCCCTTGAACAAGATAGAAACTTGATCAATTATTTTTGACTCTGTTCTGACCTTTAAGAATATATAGTATTCGGAAAAAGAGGGCATATTAGATCTTAGAGTTAATTGCATCTCAATTTGTGATCAAAACTGCTAACCAACCACTGGCAGATTCAAAAGATATCGCAAAACGCCAAGTTATATTTATTTATATCAAAAGGCAGGCTTTATGATATTTAAAATTAGCCCTTTAGTTGACTTCGGGCTTCACAGAAAGGAAGAGGAACAGACAAAGTCACAAAAAGTCGAGAGGGAAAACAGAAGAGTGATTCACAGATGTAAAAGGGGCAGACAAGTACAGATTTCAATTGTCAGTTTAAAGACTTTTTGCTGTATGAGTAAACGTTGCCCAGGGAGCCCCACGTGGAGGAAAGTGTATCTCACACCCTGGCACATAGTATAAAGATAGCTTAAGGCATAAATCCGCCCATTAGCTAAGATAGAACACCATGGAGGTGGCAAGGAAGCCAATCCAATTTATTGACAGAAAGGGTAAGGATGTTTGCATGCTAGTTTTATCATTATGAGTGATTGCTGGAGAGTCCTTTTAGGTGCTCAAGATTCCTTAACACCTAATCTAATTTACATCTTTACGCCTCCTTGTAATATCCCTTCCACATCACAAATTTACAAAAAGGACCATATTCAGAAATAAGGAGGGAGAGGTTGAAGGAATTAAAATTGGTAGAATTGTTCTAATTAGATTACAAATCTTGCCTATACATTTTGTTATCAGAAGTGTAATGTTATTTCATTTTCTTAAAGAGTCAAGTTGCTCACGTGGGGCTTTTGCATACCTATCAGTAACCCTTATAAGTTGATGTTCGCACCTCGTATTTTATTTACTCAATAGAAGTGTCATCTAAGTGTGTCTTTACGGATCCCTATTGATTGAATGTGTAGCAGAGATGGCTTGCGAAATGTACTTTAATTTCATATGACATCCTTAAAAGTCAATAATCAATCGACAGTTACATCTTGAATAAGTGGGGCAGAATTTTTTTGTTTGTACTCCAAATGAGCATTTACAGCGACACATACAGAATAGACTGTAAAGTATTTACACTAACGCAGGTTGCATAGTTTAAATCTATTACTTCTGAACAAGAGCAAAGATGATAGAATGAAAGTGGCTTAATACGAGTTATATGAGCTACAAGCGATGAGAGCAAGAGGGAACAATGGATGGCGAATCAAAGGAAGCGTTTGAGAGTGGAGAATGATGAATAATTGTGGAACAGTAGAGATCGAACAAAGGCTGCCAAAGATAACAACGACTAATAATAAGTGGAGAAGGAATTGTAATAAAAAGAAATAGGAAATTGGGACTTTCTACGAGTTTAACGTGAGAGAACGTTAAGTTAGTTAGTTAATAATTTTATGGGAAATATCTTTGGTAATAGAATGAGTATCTTCCAAATTTTAAAGTCTTGAATGGTGACTCTCGTGAAAGACAGGATTACTAATCAATCTTTTTTGTGAATTCTCATATTTTAGTTTGATTTCAATTGTATCTTTGACCTGCAATGTTCAATTCTAATGATTACAATCGTGAAAGAATCTTTCCGCAACGTTTATTCCCCTTTAATTTGCCGAGAGGCCTTGAACTCTGAATAACCATAAGTCCGCTTGTATCCGATAGTTGCCTTGCCATGTTCATTAATGACTTGGCGTGTCCGGTAAAAGTCTCTTAAAACTTAGAGGACATCGAAATGATAAATTAGTTAGAATCCAAATGAGATGCAAACGCGAACACCTTAATTTTTAGGCTGGTCAAAATTAAGGAATTAATTGCCTAACTAGGTAGGCTTTGAAGGGCTGAAAAACAAACACATTGAGTCAACATTTCATGTTCAATATTTTGTTTACATTTAGGCCTAAAATAAAGCTGATCGTTTTACTCTGGCAAACCACACACATCATGCAGGTCCACAACCACCACATGTAAATACACCATTCGAAGTACACACGAATTGAACGCAGCATTAAGAACGTAAGGAGAAAAATGATTATTCAGTTTTAATTTCCATATCACATGGCATTTGCCCGCAAGCGACTTAAATTAAGCACTTTCTCTCTCAGTGAGGCGTGAATGACGCATAATTCACTGAATGTGGGAGGAAGCAAGGCATTAGTCAAGGTTACGCGAGTTGGGTGAATGGGTTGACGTCACAAAGACCACAAAGTCGCTCATAAACACGCCAAAAGCCGTTGGAATTCCGTTTGCATTGTTCGTAAAATTATGGTTGACTCGTCCTACCTATTTAAAAGAGGTCTAATTGTAGAACAAAAGAAGGCTTGTTTCCAAAATTTGGGTTTGTAAACCACATTGTATGTGCGGTAATATATTCACCACAAGGTGAGGAGGTAAGAAGGTGGCATAGCAACAAGGGAATTTTCTGGAAAATTTAAAAACAAATATGAGCGCCTATGAGAAGGAAGCAGCCGTCCAAGATGTGAAACAAATTGAAAATAGGGCGGGAAATCGACACATATGCAAGCACCGAAAATTTGCCAGTGGGGTCAATTTTCGGGAAAGGAGTGGTTATTTCTAAGTCATTTGTGTCGAAGTTGTTCAAAATATACTTGTTACAACTGAGTCAGGCCTCATATCGGAATGAAACATTCAGTCAAAAAATCAAGAAAATTCCACAGGACAGAAAAGTGACTTACTCTAGAGCTTTAAATTAGTAGTCTCCATTATCGATTGATTAGGATATCGGAGCGCGCAGTGAGAGTAATTCAAGGACTAGAATTTACCTCTAATTATAAAGCTACTCATAGCGCTATTCGATATCATTAACTTAACCCATTAGAAACCGTATTCATGCAGAGCTAGCTATGTAGAGATCGATGCATATTTTTTTTAAGTAGTACTCTTCTGACGAATAAAAACAAGTAACATATTTCGTCCTTCACCCGCACTCAAAGCCACTCTAAGAGGGAAGCTGATGAAACCCCTTTACTTAACCACATTTCTTAAGTCATGTTTGTGTATAAAATGAAGCAAGCGTACCCTCCTCGAGGAACGAGAACCGGGCACACCTAACGAGGAGATCCCAGTAAACTATAATTTTCAAACCACATGACCACAGGTCGCACTTTTACCGTTGAAGCAGTTTCACATGAACGCTCCCCAGTTACACGCCAGTTTAAGATCACATACTCATGACTGCTAGAATGTGTCAAATAGCTATAACCCACAAATTAAGAAACAATAACAATATTTTTGAATGAAACATAATAATAATGCACATATTACATGACATTGAATTACATTTTCTTTAGATAAATCTCTTTTTCAATAGCACCAAAGTTGTAAAAGCAGAAAGGGATAGAGGGGATTAGAACATGTCAGTAATTTTCCTTTGTGATCCAAAAGTAATACCCGATTGGTTAGCACCCCCCGTATAGCCCATCTGTAGTCCGATTACAGATTCCCCAGCCTTCAACTGTTCTTCAGTGAAGGCTCTAGGATTTTCTTTGTGACGTTGCATCCAGTAACCCTGTGGACCAGCATAACCGGGCTTAGCTTGGGCTTCAATACCCAGCTGTGAAAGACAGATCACAACTTGGGGAATATTAGTCTGTTCATGGAGTTGTTCTGTCTGGAAGGCGGATGCTGATCCTACACCCATTTCCTGGCAGAAATTTATGAAAGCCCCAATCCTTTCACGTTGACGATTCGTCTCGAAGATAGCTTTATCAGAAACCTTCCACATTGACTTCCCAAGGTTATTTGATACATCATCCGGCTTGAGACAGCCAATAAGATAGCCCAGAACAAGTCCATCTTTAAGATATTTGTAAAAATCATCAGCCGATACGGTTGAAATATCCTGAGGAATCTTTTCAACTGCCGTAGTCAAATGCTCAGGAAGAGGACTGGATGGTTTTAGAAGACGGATCCATCTGAGGGCTTTCGCCGCCTCTTCAGCACTATATTTCTCATTAATCCTAAGCTGTACATCGCGAGCGAAGCCAGATTTATCAGCTCGATAATCGGAACCCATGCTTGTGACAGCTACGATATCTGATGGCACGTAAAAATGAGGTCTCCTCGCGCTTCATATTGCTTTCATTTGAGCTGGTAATTCCTATTCGTTTTCCATTTGCCCAATCAACTCCTGGCATGTGATGCGAGAACCAATTGGAGGCTTCTTTGGTTTGGCGGTGCTGCTTGTGTGCGCATAGGCGTTAGACACGCACATAATAATGGTGTGCCCACGCGATACGTCCTTATAAGATCGTCTGATTACCATGCAAAGTGAGCACCGACGTTACACCTTCTAGTAAAATCAAAGGTGTATTGATTGTTAACTGCGAAGTTTAAGTTAAGCAGAAATGTAAAAACTAGTCAGTAATCCAGAAAGGGGTAATTTGACCGCTGCATTCCGAAATGTTAATAAGTTTGCTTGAGCAACATTTATTTATATCAAATGGCAGGCGTTTTGATAGTTATCACTAGCCCTGGAGCTGAATTCGGGGCTTCACAGAGAGGAGAAGGGACATCAAAGTGACAAAAAGCCGAGAGGGGGGACAGAATAATGATTCACAGAGGTAAAAGAGACAGACAGACACAAAGGCATATAAAGGCAAGATGAGTACTGTGAATGTGGTGGAATATGACAAATAGTCGGGCCATAGAAATTTGAAGTCAGAAGTCAACTGCCGATCAATAGGCTTTTTTTTGCCGTATAAGTATACGTTGTTTTCACCCACTTTTAAACTCTTATTGGCTACCATTTGCATGGGGTAAATTCAGTTTCTCATTCGGGTTGTAATTTTCATGTTTTTTTTAATTGTTATTCGCCTTAAGGTGTTATTGGAATTTATTTCAACTCCAATCTTGGTACTGAACTTAAGATTTTAGTTTAGTTTTGACTCAATTATTTTGTTCTTTTCTGAGGTGACTCGTAAGAGCAAGAAAGTGGGGGAGGGCATCTGTCTCTAGAAATTTCTACTCACATAATATCCACGTGACTCCAACTTCTACATGAGATGTATTAAGCAATCACCAATTCAGCCAATCAGAGGACATAATCGCGCATACTTAAGCACCCAAACGCCGTCTGACTGCATTAACCTTCAGTCATGGAGTACAGAGCTTCTAAAGCTGGTTTCTCTCGCGAAGTCCAGAATCGAATTAATGAGAAGTATAATGCGGCTGAGGCTGCCAAGGTCCTGAAATGGATTACTCTTCTGTCACCTCCATCTTGTATTTCTGAAGTCCTAGCAAATGCTGCAAATCAAATACCCAAGGACATAAGCTCTGCTTCCCCTGATGAGTTCTACAATTATCTTAAGAATGGTTTGGTTTTAGGCTATATTATTGCCTGCCTTAAACCTGATGAGGCACCCATTCGACTTAAAGCCAATATGTGGAGCGTAGCATCAAGTGCAATTTTTGAAACAAACCGCCAAAGGGAGAGAATCGGTGCCTTCATTAACTTCTGCCAAGAAATGGGAGTAGATTCGGCTTCAGCTTTCCAAACTGATCAACTCTATGAACAAACTAATCTCCCTCAAGTTGTCATTTGTCTTTCCCAATTGGGTGTTGAGGCACAATCCAAACCTGGATACGTTGGACCTCCGGATTATTGGATGCATCGCCACACTGAGAACAAACGCAACTTCACTGAAGAACAACTCAAACAAGGGGAGTCCGTCATGCGCCTTCAAATGGGATACAACGGTGGAGCAACAGCCTCAGGAGTTAGTTTTGGGTCTCGCAGACATATCACGGATAACTACTAATTAAATTTAATTAATTAACTTTGACCAAATGTGCATTTTAATTATTGTCCATCTGTTTCAAATGTTATTTAAAAATAAATACGATTGAAGTGTATAAAAAATTGCTAGCCTATTGCTACGAATCAGTGTTAACCTTAATTTGCCTTTAAAATATTGCATTGTTTGGGGTTCAAAAGTTCCTTTTGTATAAGATCTTAGTTATTAAAAGGTGTTAAATTGTATCTTTAGCGCAATTAATGCACATGACTTTATTTGATTAAGGGCTCTCCATATATCTAAGAAAATGTGAACTTGATATTAAGTTACAAGTTGTGAATAGTTATTTTAATTTACTATTTGGTTACTTTAAGCACTATTTAGTTATCAATATCCCATTGAAAGGTTTTATCGATTTTTTTCTCTCCTTTAAACAAGATTACGCGATTAGAAATTGGAATGAGTGAGGATGGGGGATAACAGTGTGCTTAAATTGGGTCATATTACCTTGACATTTATTTAAACTAAATTGTGTGTATATATTGATTTTACTTGAATGGTGCTTTTGTTTTTCTTAGAATAATTTGGTTTCCTGGTTAGAAAGTCAGAAGATAAGGGATAGCTAATTATATTCATTAATGTGTTAGCGTAAAACAACCGGAATACGAGTGACATTTTCGTAATCGTGTAAAGTGGTTTAAGGGATTGAACTGTTGAAATTAAACCAAAAATATGCACTACTGATTCCCTCCCCACCCCCCATGCTCCCCCCCCCCCTTAAAATAATAGGAAGAACGGGTTTTAACTAGGTCAATACTTGTTTTTAAAATATAGAACTTAATACGCAGTAGGTTGAAATATTATTTTTAATGCGCTGTTGATTCAGTAAAATATCGGCATTTTGCTCAATGTTTGAGAAGTCGAACAAATACTAGCATAGATACATTAAGAAATAAAATTGTGAGGAAACAGAATGGAATATTTTCAACAATCGTCTATCTGTCATTACGTTATTTGGTTATTGGCTGCACGATAGATTTACCTCCAAGTGGTGCACCCTGGGCAACGTATACTCATACGCCAATAAAGTCAATAAACCGGATGTTGACTTCTAACTACCATGACCCGACTGTGTGCCATATTCGACCACTTTCCCAGTACTCACCTTACCCTACTCTCTACCTTTTTGTCTCTCTGTCTCTTTTATATCTTTGAATTACTCTTCTGTTACCCCTCTCGACCTTTTTTTCACTTTAATGTTCCTTCCTCTATGAAGTCCGAAATCACTTAAAGGAATAGTGGTAACTATCATAAAGACTGCCATTTGATACAAACAACTTAATGTTATTGGTTATTGATCATTCCTATTTCTTTCTGGGGAATGAATCCTCGTTGTTGATATGTGATTGTGACCACTTATAGCCGAAGCGATATAATCGAAAGCGTTTCTTGATAAAGTTGAGTTTCAGAGCTTTTTCTTCTTACTGTCTGAGAAGCCGTAAACATAGATTTATCTTTTTAGACGCATTACAGTCTAGACTATATCAAGAGCTACTTATCGAGTTATCAGGAAAATCAAATAACAACTATAATCAAATTTATATAGAGGTTAAAAGCACAGAAAGAAAACAAAAGTAAAAAAATTAATTTCTAAGGAGAAACGCTTTTATTTTGCAAGCATGCATCATAAGTCACTTTGACTCAAAGTGCATCAACGTATCATTTTCACACATAAAATATACACGGTCCCACGGATTGAGAGTGATTGCACAATCCCGATGCATGGTTGATATGATCAATTCTTTTCTATAAGTTACCGTAACCAACTCAGATTCCCTAAGAAATTGCACTAGTTGGAAATATAACCCGAGAGCACGAAACGACTCAAACTACCATGCCAAAATCAATAAGAAGACTTATATTATGGTTCATTTACATGCTCAGTGTTAATAAATTTATTTGAATATAAAGTATTTAGAAGGCGGAAAATGAAAACTGTTGCATAGAAGAGCTATTTTTGGAAGATAACATTAGCCTTATTTGGCAATATTATAAGCTGTAGAATGTTCTCGAAAGACTACCTTATAAGGTGGCATATGAAATTGAAATAAATAATAATACAATTAATTTAATTTAAGCATCCATGAAGGGACAATTCACTGAGTTTCGGCCACTGTGTATTATATTGCTTATAATTATACCACTTGCGAGCAATCTAAGCCTATACTAGAAAACTGCTAAGTTGAAATGAAAGCGGGAAGTAGGGGAACTGCTCATTCTTTATGATTGAGCTTTCTTTTGTCAATAGGCAACTTGGAGCTGAATAGTGAAACATGTGATCAAGAAGCCACAAATGATCCCCTATCATTTATTTATATCAAATGGCAGGCTTTATGATATTTATCATTAGCCCTTTAGTAGACTTCGGGCTTCAGAGAGGGGAAGGAACATCAAATTGAAAAAAATTCGAGAGGGGGGGGGGAGGGACAGAAGAGTGTTTCAAAGATGTAAGAGACAGACACAAAGGTAGAACAAAGGTGAGGTGAGTACTGTGAAATAGTCGAATATGACATACAGTGGGGTGATGGTAGTTTGAAGTGAGAAGTCAACTGCCAGTTAATAGACTTTTTGCCGTATGAATATATGTTGTCGAGGGTGCACCACGTGGAGGTAAGTCTATCGCACACCCCTGATCCCCTATCATAAAGACCAGTCAAATCAATCAGAATTGTCTCGAAAACTATACTCTAATAGAAATCGTCATTTCACGTCACCTGACGATGTCAAGGATAAAGAAGTTGAAATGGAACTCAGAAACCAGAGGCATCCATGCCTCTCAGAAATAAGATATTCTCATTTGGTAACTATAACGATCTGGAATACATGTCCAGATATATAAAGAATAACCAATTAGGGAGGCGTATTTTGCACTCAGAGACAGAACGTATATTTTGTATTGCATCATTTTCCAAAATAATAGGTCACAAACGCCAACTTTCGGAACCCTAACTAGAACGATTCAAATGGAAACGAACGGCATGAATAGAGTTGAAACTTGAAACCCGTCATATTTTTCGGAATTGAAAATTGAAAATAAATTTGTAAACGAGAGTTCACCCCTCAACTTCAGGATTTTAGGTGCATTTTCGAATACCGAACATAAGGGAAAAGAACATAATAAATAGCTCTTAAATGAAGCTCATTTAAATTAATTACCATCAATTTGTTTAAGTGTTGACTAAGGCATGGAATAATAGTGGAATGAATAAAGAATCGTTTGTTAGGACAGTGGGTAATTGACTGTTTAGGTTTTAAATTCAAGTACCGACAACTGACAATCGCAAGATTAATTGATGACCATCTGCGTATTTCGCAGCCTGTTTGATAGACCATTGACCAATGACCTTAATAAAATTTTGCTCATTTAGAGGAAAACATTTTGAAGATAGCTTAAGAACCAGATATAAATGAGAAACGCAATCTTGATAAATAGATGGCATGGTTTATAGACTCTTTTAGCTTACTTTGTCTGAAGTTATTTTAGATAGCATGGATATACCTCATTTAGAACACCAGATCCAAATGCTTCAAGCATTAATTTGGATATATAAAATTAATGATTAGCTTAAAATAAATGCCAAATTCACATTTACTGCCCAACAGCAAGGAGTTTCAGAAAGAAAATGCATGGTTGAACTAATGGTACACTTTCGCAACCATTTGCTCGAAAGGCACATTTTGAGACAAATTATGAATCCATTTCTCTCCGAAAACGAAGGAAATGTGTTCTGGAATTTGCATGGCAAAATTTAGTTATATCATATTAGAGCAGAGCTGTAATTAAAAGTGCAGAGATGTTGCATCGGTTACATTAAATGATGACCTTGATTAAAATAGCTTTAAATGAAATTTCTTCAATCCGATCATTGCTATGGAATTTTTTTTATGATGGCATTCAGTGTATGCATCTACTCTACAACGGCCTTTCTACGCCAGTTACTGTGTAATGTGAACTAGCGTTTATGAGGAGTAGAAAGCTAAATTAGAAAAATGATTTTTGCACAAATATGAAAAAACGAAACGATGCAATTTTTTGTTCCAGGTCTAGTTTCATAAAAAAATTGAAAGTCTCGTAGTCATTTTAATGTGAGTAGTGAATTGAGGCTTCAGTATACGCATAATGCCTGGTGATCCTTTTGGTTTAGGTTCACATTTCACATGCATGAAAAGGTGTACTTGTGTAAAATGAGCGCGTGAATGTAGAATAGGAACAAAAGAATAAAATTACCAAAGATAACTACCAAAGAAAGCAGCGTTAGTTAATGAAGTTCAATAAGAGTGAATATAATTAATGAAGAAAATTATACTTTTGAAATAAGTTTGCCTTAGTATTTGGGATTGACTCAACAATAAGAAATTATAGATCCCAATGACTTTGGATGCGCATAGTTGTTGAAATACGGAAAAGAATTGAAACTCATAAAACCTACATGCATTTATTATTGAATATTATAATTTAACAAACGGCATTAAAGAATTCAGACCACGAGAGATAGGGAAGCGAGAATTTCAAGGAATAATAATATGGCATTACTTTATAGGCAACTGATAGATATTTAATTATAAATAACAACCAGCAATAATTTAGTAGAAAAAACAAGTTTGTGGTGTTAAAAAATCAAAGAAATCAGTGAATTAGTATACTTTCAGAAATTGCTGCGAACAGCTTGACGTCAAACTGCACAGGTGTACATCGTGAAATTCATGGTTTCATGAGTGCATAAGTAAATATTCTTCGCTGAATAACTTCATCATAACTAGAATGCTACTTAAATCGATCACAAATTATTTATCAATTAATTTTAAAATACTTCAAATATTAAATCTAACTCTAATCATCATTTTGAGGCAAAATAAAATAAATAAGGCTACTTTGAGATAATTCTTTCTTAGTCTTAAGTACCGCCTTTTTAAGAATTTTTTCTTAATGTAAACCATACCATAGCCCCAAAATTCGAAGGTACTGCAACTGGGCTGACTGGTATGAAATTTTATAATTTCGTCACAATTTGTTTCTATATTATGAAATGACTTTAGCATTTCTTATGAAAAATTTAGATTTTTTTAAATGTAAAATTGCTGTCTTTTATGCTTAATAATTAGGTAATTAGCTTGTTTCTATTTAGACTTCACAAAATGAGCGAGGAAGTTGTTGACCCTATTGTAAGTCCCCTATTTTTATACTAACAAGATTTTAGCATGCTATTCGGCAAGAATGCCGAGAAACCAAAGAGTGTCAGAAGTTCGTTAAGCTCTTCGAATCCTGTTCGGCTCGTCAGCCCAAAACAAAAGAAAGTTGCGAAGAAGAATTCATTGACTTGGTTCAGTGTATCGATAAATGCGTTGGACCAAAACTCTTTAAAGTTCTGAAGTAGACTTGCCTATACCTAGTTGTAGTACCATTCAGGGACTCGACATTTTGGAATGTACCATTTTAGCGAATTTATCGATTGTTCATAGTGAATTTGTTTATAATATCTTACTATTCTTGTTGCTTTTTTCTTTTAGTCGTGTTTTGTTTGTTGAGTGCTTTTGTAGGTTTAAAGCATGCTTTTAATGCCATTAGTGCGACCAGCCGATTGATTGCCTAGTTGCTTTAAAGGACCTTACCGCATGCTCTAGGGCTTGAATGACACTTGTTAAAGATTTATAAGACTGTGAAAGAGTGACGGTGGGGATAATTCGGAACCAAATTGGAATAGCTGACCCCAATGTTTCTAGCTGCTGATAACGTTACTAGATTTGATTTTGCCTCAGAATACTAACCCTTAACTACTTATGAAGACCTTCCTACTGATCCTGAACTGAGTTTCTTAAGTTTTGTGTGAACAATTGGTGAACGCAACGGAGGCATTTTCCCGAAACATTGCGTCTTTTACCCGTGAAGGAATTACAGTGAGTTTTTTAAATAGAGTTGATAATGTTGCTGGATGTCTGGTCTTAGTGCTCTCTTATCTTTGCCTGCTCAGTGGTTAAATGTGAACGGTTGCGCTCTTTATCAACTGTAAAGCATTAACCCACTTTCGCCACACAGGAACTTAGTTCGAGCGAATAGGGAGGTATAAGAAAAAGTAATGACTAAGCTATTTGTGAAAATATTTATTTATTTCAAATGGCAGGCGTTATAATAGGTATCATTAGCCCTTTAGTTGACTTCGGGCTTCACAGAAAGGAAGATGAACATCAAAGTGGCAAAAAGTCGAGAAGGGGACAGAACAATGTTTCACAGATTTAAAAGAGATAGACGGACAGACACAAAGGTAGAGAAAGGGTAAGGTACGATGAGTACTGTGAAATTATTCGAATATGAAATGCAGTGGGATCATGGTAGTTTGAAGTCAGAAGTCAAGGGCCGATTAATAGACTTTTTTGCCGCATGAGTATACGTTGCCCAGGGTGAACCACGTGGAGGTAAGTTTATCGCACACCCCATTTGTGAAAATATAAAGGTGGAGAGGAGGTAGGTTTGTCGCCTTGTAAGAAATCAGTGAAATCGAATTCAGCACTGCGCCTAAGGACCTTAATCTCCGAGGAATTCGTACAAGAACAATGAGATTAAATACTGCAGCTGTTTGTGGGTAAATGTGGAAAAGGAGACAGTGTTTCTGTTTAACCAAAAGAGACATCTCTTCCTCAGACAACAGACAATATTGATGGCGTTCTCCTATTACCCAGATTGCTTAAATAGATGACTTCCTCATTGTTTCGACAAAATATTTCATTTTCGCAATTCATGGACAAGTAAATAAGATTAATTGCGAGTTACAGAAAACGTCGATATGTGATATTTTACCCGTTTAAAGCATTGGTAAATGAATACCTTAACGTGATATATCCACTTCCCAAAAATGTTGAACAAATTCTACTATGTGAATAAAAGATGAGGATACGTTATAATGCTTTTTATAAGGAATTGACAGAAATTAAACATTGTTTGGTGTCTACCCCACACCGCCAAAGTGATGAATTTAGAAGGTTCTTTCTAGTAGCAATTTTATAGTGATGAATAGGTTAGTTGCAACCAATTATAGAGAATCCAAAATTATTTGGCATAATTAGTTTATGGATTTTATATATAAATTAAAATACTTTTTCTAATTTGATTAGTAGTTACCGATAACCTTGAAAAGCTGCGTTCATGCGAAATATGTATTATGACCTGTACGATGAAAATATATTTAGATGTGACAAAAATATAAGCTCGTAGTAAACAAAAAAATGAGCAGATTTAAAACAATCATTATTTTACCCTGTCTTGTTATTGCAATTAGGCAGACCAATTCATATATTTCATGCTAGTTTTTATTATAAATTCCAGCTTGTTAAGTATGAAAATTTCTATATAATTTCATATCACTTACGATTTAATTGAAAATGTTTTATATTGTAGATAATGGAAGAGTCGTTTGCACTAAATGAATTCGAAAGTGTAGTAAAGGTGAGGCATAATAATATTCTCACTTATTCTACAGCGTCTACCTGAGCCGCACTATAGCAGTAGCTTTTCGAAATACTTACCATCACTACCCCTCCCCGCAAAACCTGAGGTTCCATCTTCCTTATTTGCGGTAAATTATAATTAAAACTAGCAGTTTATAAAACAAGTAAATGAGAGTCTTAATCAATCTATTATTTAAAAGATTGTCAATAAGAATGCTGAGCATCCTCCACTGATTTCTCAATTCACACTGACTCAATTGGCACCATTCAAAAATCAAAAGTTTCACCGACCACCAAGTCAAAACATTGGTAGCAATTTCTCACCGGCTGCTGCTACACTTCGGTTAAATTGCTTGTCGTCACAAAGCATTCGCCTAAAAGATGTTGGGGCTCCCAAAAGCAAACGACTTAAAAATGGTGATAATTCCTACATGTAGGTCATAAATAAACAAAAATAGAAGTTGACATTGTTCCTGAGTCCTGGCTTTAAAGTTATTATAACAATAGCTTTTCATCGATTAAGAAAGCGTCACAAGGCGATTTGGTTTACCAGAGCATTTCATGAGATATCAATACTTAACTATAAAATAATTACAAATTTATCGGAAGAGTATATCGATTCAGTTAGACCTCAGAGAGTGTAGCCATTTTGTCAGATCTGATTATTTTGAATAATATAAATTTAAGTAGTTTTTCCAACTATAATTCGAACATTTGGGAATAATTATTTCATTCTAAATAAAGTCAATCATACGCAATAAGCTAAATTTTAGAAAGTCTTTCAATTAATTGAAATTATCCGAATAAAAATTCAAAGCAGATCGTATCATCTATGGTCTTGAATCCAATAATTATTTCAAGTTCGGCTTTATATTTTCTATATTCCAATAGCCTTAGGGAGCGTCGGATATAGGCCTTAAAAAATCTTAAAATCTGACATTCTCTTTTTTCCAATTTCTTTTCATGCTCAATTGAATTACTAACAACAGTGGAGTAATATTGCCTCGTTGAAATATAGCTCTCATATTTTCGCGTTTTTTGTGCACATTATTATTAAGTGTACCATGTTAGATCCTGCATGTCGTTATTTTTTATTGAGTGAACTTGAACAAAAGCCTGATCGACCACGATCTCCAGACTCCCAAATGAAGGAAATGAAAAAGAATGAGCGCATGTTTCGTTGGTTGAACGGCGAACCATCAGAACGTGACATGGAGGTACTATTCATCAACCAGTCACTATTGTTTATCGATTATAGCATTATTGAATAATTATAAAATTGTATCCTTATAGCGATACGCATACTATGTCGAAAACGGCGTACCTGATCAAATGGTTGCCGATCCACCAAGAAATCTTTGGCTTGCGCTAAGAGATTGCGCTCCCAGAAATCTCATGGATAACTGGAGTAAGATTACACAAGATCTACTTAAAGAAATTCATAAGGATTACCGAGTTGCGGTAAAGAAGTCAATCGGTTGGTTTATCTCTTCCATTTTTTTCATTATCATACGAATTTGTATAAGGAGGGAAATACTCTTATAAAATTATCCGAGAAAGAGAATTCAGATACTTATTTATTAATTTATTTCAAATGGCAGGCGTTTTGATAG